TTCATAGTATGTAGTGTTTGAAGATCTGCTTAACTACAGTCTTAGGCTCCTTGTAGTTTAGAAACAGTAAAACCGTTCTTTAACTTCTGCCTTATAAAATAACTCAGAATAGAATGCTAATCTTTATTTCAAATAATACCTTTTGGAATCTAAGAATATACCTTTTTTAAGATAAACAGAGCCTGTAAGTCGTGATATTTATACACATTGCTGCATTTCTTCATAGCACATTTTTTTTCTCTTTTTGTTTACTCCTTATGAAAGGATATTTTGGAGCAGAATGAGGCCTTGAAAGCGCAAATTCAACAGTTTCATTCCCAGATAGCTGCCCAGGTAATAGTGTTTTCTTCTTGCTTGTCACGAATAATAGCTCGCAAGCCATTTAGGCCGTCATCTGAGTGCCTGTTGTGCTGACACTTGGCCAGTAGTTAGGAGACTAGTTAGTGAAATAACATGATGATCCCAAGTGCTGAACACTGATATATATTCAGTACTGTAGGAAAATGCTAATGAGATTAAAATCAAACTAAGTGGAAAGGAAGAGAGCTAGAAAACTCTTTACCAGGAAGATATGCCCCATCCCTAGTCCTGTCATAGAATGGGAGAAATTAACCAAACAATGTCTATGATAGAGGTTTCTGTATTAAAAGTATTTTTATACTCCTGGCTAATCATGGAAAACCTCATATAGCCACAGGTAATAGCGTTGTGTTAACCATAGCTCTCAGAATATATTCACAAAAGAATCAGTTTAACATTTATACTTTAGGGGTGGGGGATTGAGCTCAGTGGTGCCTCCACCTGCCTTGCAAGCCAAGCACAAGGTCCTGAGTTTGATCCCCGGTACCAAAAAACAAAAAACAAAACCAAAATTATACTTCACTGTAGTTAGTGGTAAGTGTTTGAAAGTTTTAAAAATGATGTTGTAAGATATATTAGTTTTGGTAAGATTGTCCTATCACACTTGATTGGTAACGAGGTCTTAAAATATAAACGGTATAACATTAAGGAAACAGTGAAACTTTCCAATACATTTCCGTACTGTATATACCATAGATTTCAGCTTCAACTCAACTTTAAAATTCTAAATGTTGTTTTTATAGCAAAAAGGATTCACTTAGAAGTCTGACTTCTCTGTGTAAAAGATTGTTTTAACATTAAAAATTCACTTTTAGGGTTCACACAACTTTAAATTCCCAAAGCATATAAACATTTTTTTTGTAATTGTGTTCTTTGTAGAAACTGTAGTCCACAGTAAATTAGTGAAGAATTATTTAACATAAGGAAGGGGGCTGTAGGTGTGTATGGTCTGCAAATTATCACTTCAGATTGGATGGAGATCTTTAGTTATCAGCTGAGAGGTAGCTCTAGAAAGTTTATCAGAAATTAAATAACTTAGAGAATGCTGTGAATACTTTTAAAAAAGTTAAGATGAACATGAATATTGCCAGATTACCTTAATTAATCATGAAGTGGATCGTATTGAAAAGTTGCTGCTAGGTAAGAGAAGTATAGTGATGAAAGTTGGCCATTGTGACTATCGTCCCCTGTTTGTTCTTTGTCAGTTACGTAGTTTTCAAGCCTTTCAAATTGTTTTCTTCTACATGTCTTGTGATATGTGGTCAGACATGATTTCAAAATGATAGCTGCTCTGTATTGAACACTTATCGTGGGTTAAAGACTATATTCATTAATTTCTGTTAGATTTTTAAAGCATTTGCGATGATTATTTGTACACCTTTTAAACTTCCTCTTAAATGCTTTCATGTTGATGATGTTTTTCTTTCTTAGACCTCCGCTTCAGTTCTAGCAGAAGAGTTACCTAAAGTGTAAGCCTGCCTTTCCAACTTCTCTTGCTATTGTGTGGTCATCACTAGCTGATACTTCTTAGAGCCCTATAAAGGCTTAACTTTATACTCTTTGCTTTTTGGAAAACACTGCAAACTATATTTAGAGCAACTTTTATTTATTCTTTTACTTTGTCTTGTGTGTTGGGTCCCTAAACGTTACATTTTCTGTTTTTATGTCTTCATAAAATGAGTGGGTGAAGCTTTTCACTTAGGGTGTTAGAGGTTATGTAGAAAAGGTGATTATGTTTTGAGAGTATTGGAAACAAATTAACCTTTGTGTCTAATGTGTAGTGGTTACTCTGGATCTAGGAATGAGGTAATATACTCAAAGTTCTGTGTTTTGTTTTGCATAATTTTCCATAGATATGGTTTACTTGAGTTCAGAAGACCAGAAACATTTGCAGACTTGTGAACATTCACAGATTAACTTATTTGGGTGTGAGTTTTAACATTAGGGATATTACATATTAAGGAGTTACAGTAATTATAAGACAGTTACTAGTAAACTGAAAAGAGACTAGAAAGGGAAGGTATTATGATATGAGAAACTACTTAAAGATGACCCTATTTCAGGTTTTTAATCCTCGACTTGTAATGTGACTTAGAAATTTTCATTGAATATACATACACATTTATTTCCTTTTAAAGGATTGCTGAAAAAGATAAGCAGATAAAGCAAACTGAAGATTCCCTAGCAAGTGAACATGATTATCTGTAAAGAGGAGGAACTTAAGGTCAGTAAGTCTTAAAAATGGCTGCAATATTTTGTAGGGCTCAATACTGAATTACCATGATCCCTATAACCAATAAGGCTTCATATGAAGAATGGAAAATGCTTTAGAACTCATTGGAAAAGTGCCTTTCTGTTTTCTAGACTATAAAATCTTCTTTAGCTCTGTAGGAGGAAAAACAATCAGCGGGCTTTTCTCATATGCTGTTAATCCCACCAATTTGAGAAACATGCTGAATATCAGGAAATATTGCTAAATTGACCGATTTTCTTGCTGATTGAGTGAATTTGTAATTTGAGACCTTGGTTTAACTTTTTTTATTTTTTATTTTTTTCCTCATTGGGTTTATTGGTACATTTAGGTATACAGTACAGTTACATTCATTATTGGGATCTTGTACCTCTACATGACAGGTCTTGGTTCTCATCTTTTCCCCTTGTCCCTGCCCTCCCTTCACCCCTCCTCCCCTCCCCCTTTACAAACACTTCATCTCCATTTTTTCATTTTCTCATATTTTCCCCTTATTAGCTTTCCCCTATCCTTCCCACTTTCCCTATACAAACTTACTTTAGTTGGATTCATTTTCATTTTCCCTTGGAAATTTTTCAAAATGTTTCTGTTCCCGAAGGGTGTGGTGGCACATGCACTTTTGGGAGGCTGAAGCAGAAAGGTGGCAACTTCAAACCCTCCTTGTGCAGTTGAGTGAGACTGCCTCTCAAGAAGATGTAGGTCATTGCTGGATATTGGGTTCAATCCCCAGTACACCACCACTACCACCAAAAGAAGGCTTCTGTGCCGGTGCTTTTTCAAAATTGATTTTCCTTTAAGCGTGGTCTGGCAGCTGGGTGTGGTGGAACATGCTTGTAATCCCAGCACTTGGGAGACTGAGGCAGAAGGTTAGCTTTGAGTTCAGGGCCAGCGTGGGCTACAGTGAAACACTGAACTACGTAGTGAGACTCTGACTCCAAGAAAAAAAAAATCTAGTCAAATGATAAAAATTCCCTCTAAGTTGTCTCTGAAGTAACAGTATTTCTTTGAGTGAATATACCTTCATTTAGGCAGTTTTATATATTGTTGTGATGTAGTGTTTTTTAGTTGGTTGAAAATAACCCAGTAAAATGCTTATTTTCAGATTTTGTCACTAATTCTTGATAAAGGAACAGATTTTTGAGTGTATAGAATATGACACATGTAGCTTGGTTATGCAAATTTAGTTTTCATGTCATTAGATTTAAATTAAAGTGTGTGCACCTTAAACCAGTGGTAGATTTCAGAGATCACTTCTAACTGATGGAGAGATGTACCATTGCGATATTGCTCGTTTGCCTGCCTGGTCACCCTGTTGAACTCCACAAGTGTTGTTTTCAAATGATTTACTTGCCTTGGTTTAGACGTGCATTTTTATAGGTGTCTTTTTTATTTGTTTTTTAATCTTGCAGAGATTGTTTGAATATTAGATTTTTGATGGTAGTGGTGGTGTTGGTGGTGGAGGGTTTGTGATCAAATCATTACCCTTATTTTGACAAACCATGGTTTTGAGTTTATAATTGATATCCATTGGAGTTGCATTTAAAATCAGTAAATTTAGACATATATTTGTAATAACTGAAATGGACAGCTGACAGACCCTATAAAGAAGTGTCGTAATTAGTCTTCTTCATGTTTGGCATACGTGGGATCATTTATTTGTCAGTTTCTCCTTGTTTCCTTTCCTCTTTTTCCTATTTCTACCACCCATCAAAAATTTTTAATTTGGGGGTACTGGGGATCAAACTCAAGAACTTGCACTTGTGAGGCAGACGCAGTGCCACTGAGCTAAATCCCCAGGCCCCACCCATCAAATTTTGATGGTCTTTTTTGTTCTGTTTTTCACACATGTCTTGTCCTGACTTTGAAGGTGGAAATACGAAGGTTGCCATTTTACTTCCATGCCATTTCTTTTTCTTGTTTTCCTGCTTCTCCTCCTCTTCCCCCTTCCCTATTTGCCATCTCTCCCCTTGCTCCTCCTTGAGATTTCCTTGCCAGTAAGTCTCAGTTATATGTGTATATTTTTTGGCAGGGTAGTATATAAAGTTGTAGCTGTAAGAACTGTATTTTATTTTATTTTTGGTTGTTCGGGGGTTAATTTTTCTCAGACAAATCAGTTGACTTAAAATGCCAAGGGAAACGTCCACTTTTTTCAAATGTTTTGGCTTATTAATAAATGATATTATTTGCCATTCAGGATGCTTTAGAAATTTTGCTGATTTTTTAAATTATGTAGCATTTTGATTTCTTGAAATGGGAAAACTTGATATTTGTCAGTATTAAAATAATTTTACATTGATTTTTCTTCCTTTAAATCTTAAAATACCATAATGCTTTCTCTTTTTAAATTCTGTAACCTTCTAAGTTTGATTTGATATATCTTCTGCTTTAGGAAAGGCAGTATGTGGAAGCTGTTGAGTTGGAGGCTAAAGAAGTTCTTAAAAAATTATTTCCAAAGGTGTCTGTCCCTTCTCATTTGGTAAGACCGATTTCTTTAAAATATGTTATTATTTAAGAAAGTTATGGGGGCCGGGGATTTAGCTCAGTGGTTCTGCCACCTGCCTTGCAAGCATAAGAACCCACTTTCGATCCTCAGTACAAAAACAAAACAAAACAAAACAAAACAAAAAACAGAGGAAGTTGTGTATTCATAGCGTTTGTTCTCAGCACTTGGATTGTTAAGTTTCTTAATCTTTGCCATTATTAACCCAGGGTGCTTTTGAGTAGTTAGGATTGATAAGTTAGTTTAAAACTCATTTGTTTTTATTCACCTGCTAGTTTTGTTGTCATCTGTAAAATTTAGAGGATCACAATCATCATATTTGGGAAGAAAGGATTTCTGAATGGTCAATAAAATCAGTAATACTCTTAATGGCTTGACTCACAAGTAGAACTGAGTTTTAAGGGCTTACCTCTTCATTTTAGCAATGTGTCTGAATGTCTTTGATACCACTAACAGGATTTTTACATTTCAAAAATTCAAGATTTTGGTCGTCTATTAACTTCTTCAAGCAAATGTCTTGAAGATAATAGAAAACTTGCTTTACTTAGGGTTGACATCTTTTAAGTGGGAGAGAAAAGTTACTTTGGTTCAGAAAATAAATACAGTAGACATGGCCACTGAGGGTGCAGGCCGCTTCCTGGAGTGGGTGATTGTTAGAATGGAAAATCGTTCGTGTTCTCAGAAGTAGAGGGAACACAGCAGTGAGCTCAGCACCCCACTTCCGCGGTTATCTGTACGTGCTACGTGACAGCACATAAACAGCCTTACTTTACTGCCCACTTGGCACTGCCTGGATCATTGTGAAGGAACACAAACCTCACTATTACATCTGAAAATGTTTCAGTGCATCTTTCTAAAAGATGAGAATTCCTTTTTAAATGTCATTAAAAATACACCCTTAGTTTTGTATTGTCATTGCTTGATTCCTCGATTTGATACGTGAAATTGTCTGTTTTATTAAATAATAACTCATCATAGTTTGTTTTAATCAGTACCCAAGTAAGATCAGATGTGATTCTGGATTAAGATGTTGTTTTATTCCACCAGTTGCCCTCCATCGGAAACCCCTCTACCATTTTTCTGTTGCAAACCTAGTAGTTTCCCATGGAGTGAAATTTCCTCACTTTTGATTTGGCTGGTGTCTTTGCGTAGCCTATGAGTTGGTATTCACTGCAGGCCTACTCAGTCTTAGTATTTTGGAGGCACAGTGATGTGGGCAATTCTTCCATCAGGAGGTCATTTAGAAAGTCTGCTTTGGGCTGGCTCTCGAGTCCTTTTGACACAACACTGCTAAGCTTTGCTAACCTCTGTGATTTATGGTATAAAAAGATGTTGCTGATTTATTACATTTCCTGTCCCCAACATGAAATGTGTTTTTGCTCCTGTAGGTGTGGGTTTTAAGGGTGGTATAAGTAAACTTAATAGCCTGTTTTGTGTGGAGTCTGTTTAGCTGCTTTCTTTCTTACATTCCATGTACATTAATTCAAATAAAAAGGAATAATTCTTTTGTTTCATTGTAAACATTGATGATACATTTGGGCCGAAGAGTTACATAGACTTCTGCTGCTCGAGTTGAACTGATGAAGTATCCTGTACCGGGTAGACAGCGAGATAAACTTGTCAGTTCTAGTGCTGCCCTTCTATGGAGTCTAGGAGAAGGGATTGCTGCTAATATAGTTCATATTTTTTCTTTTATTTCTGTTTTATATTTTGTTAATAGAAGTAAAATTTAGAGGCTTATTTGATAGTATTTTGTTTGTTTTCCTACTGGGGCTCGAACTTGGGACCTTGTGATTGCGAGGGAGGCCGCAGCACCGCTGAGCTAAATCCCCGGCCCTATTTGATAGTATTTTATGAGCCAAGAGAGTTAATGCTTCATAATTTCTGTTCTTCAAAGATTTTTTAAAGATCACCAGCAATAAAACTTTTGTTTTTAATGTAGCAGATTAATTCTTAATAGCAGTTCTACCTGCCTTCAATAAACAAATCTTCATGAATCTATAAAAATTTAGAAATCACTGTAAACCCTGGATGATATCTTTGGCTTTTGTTTATACATTTAGTAGAAATGGAATATTTCTGCATGTAGTCTGTATTTAAGAAATATACTAAATGTTCTGTGGGCTACTCAAGAGTTTAGCAGTTTAGGGATTTTTGGTTTTTTATACCAGGGATTGAATTTGGAACCTTGTGCTTGTGGGCAGGCAACAGCACCACTGAGCTAAATCTGTGGCCCTGCATTTTATGTTTTTAAAATGCATGAAAAACAATCTACTGTTTACTTTACATGCTCATAAAACAATAAGCTTCATTAGTATTAGCACGATAACATAATCATTGGTGTTTTTTTTTAATTTTGCTAAACAGATTACCACAGGGGAGATTAAACTATATGACCTGAAGGGAGATTTACAAACTCTAAAGCATTTAAATCAGCTTTTCATCTGATGTTATGTTGGATCTCAATGTTTCAAGCTGTTCGGTAGGATTTTACAAGTATACATTTAATCTTGATTCAAATCTATAATATCAAAATGTCGTTCTTTCAAAGTGGAGAGGCTTTTTAAGCTAGTGTCATATTGAGGATAGAAAATACTGTGAGGTGTTCTCAGCATCCACTTTTGCTTTTATTCTTGATCAGAGCATTCTGATTCAGCCACTTAAGTGAAGCTTTATCTTGACGAAGTTAATAGAAATTTTTCTTGAATTAAACTGAACCAAAGACTCAACAAGAATTAAGAGAAAATTTGATGTACAGATTTCTTAACTTTTGTGAAATATTTTCAAAAATCCCGGAGCACCTTCAAAGACCTTGAAATCTTCTGAACAGAAAATCTTCAGTTGAACTTTCAGCTTTTTAATTTTAATACTTTAAGAAATGTCTTGCTTGAAGAAAAGTATTAAAAAATTATTCATTCTGGATTTTCAATATTTTAAAGATTGGGTTCATTGATCATGGTGCTCATAAGTGGTAGAAGCCAGGTTTGAGCCTGAGTCTTCCACCTATAAAATCATAATTCAGTTGTAAATTTTTTTTAAATTTGGGTACCAGGGATTGAACTCAGAACCTTGTGCTTTGCAGGGCAGGCTTCTTACCACTGAGTTAAATCCCCAGCTCCAGTTGCAAATATTTTTGATCTGGATAGATGGAATACTATTTTGATGGTAGTATGTAGGTATATTTTCAGTGTTTAAAGACTGGATTATGTTCCAGTTAAGAAAGTTATATTCCCTTTTGAAATTTTTAAGGGGCCGGTGATATCTATGTAGGTTTCTTTTAGAATTACCTACTGACCATCCTAAATATTTGATCATTTCTTTAGGATATTTTTTGGAAATTGATGACTTTGACTTTTCTCCTTTGCATAGTTACAGTGAATGGTTGCATGGATTTGAAAAGAAAGCAAAAGAATGTATAGCTGGAATTTCAAGTTCAGAAGAAGTTAAGGTTAGTTCAGGAAGTGAACTCTCTGTATTTTAATGAAACCTGGGGAAAAAGGATCAAGTTAGAGTTTGTTTTCATATGTTCTGGAGAGATAGGATCTGTTTTTAGGAGAATATTAATCTTTTAAGAAAAGTAGGAAGAAGGGATCATTTTTGTACATTTTAGTGTCTTTGCATTTGATTTATGTACCAAACTGTTTCCTTTCTTTAATTCTGTATCTTAATAGTTTCTAAAACTGAGTATGTAACTTTCTTGCTCTCTGTTTATCATAGGTCAGTTTTTTTAGTTTTAATGTTTTTAGGACCTGGAGTTTCCAGCCGTCTTAGGGAGCGGGTTACATGTACCTACCACCGCTTGTCTCTCTTTTATTTAACCCTCCCCCAGTTCTCTGTCCCATTTTTCATTCAAAAGCATGGATCGCTTCATGAATTTGTGTGTCACCCTTGCACAGGGCCCATGCTGATCTTCATTGTATTGTTCCAATTTTAGTTTATGTGCTGCTGAAGCGAGCACTGGTTCACAAAATGTAAGTCAGTGAGATGGTAGCTAGAGTCTTAGCAGTGTGCTCAAGTTTCTCCAAATAAATAATTATTTGAACCTGGCTTGGTTTTTATTTTTTACTTCTGAAACTGAAGAAATGTATTATTGTTATTCTCTTGTATCCTAAGTGTTGCTTCTGTGGCGTAAGCATTGTGACCTTTACATGTTCATTTGCTTTGATTTTACCATCTAGTTAAGAAGAAATAAGCCCGTTTATTACAAAATTTTGTAGTATATTTTGTATTGAGCAGTTTTATTAGTGACCATCAAATGTGACCAGCGAAGTCATTGTACTGAATTGCCTCTTAGTGTTTTGTTATAAACCATTTGAAACCATTTTTGTAATATAAAATTAAGTCCTGAAATAAAATTGAAGCACAGAACATACTGGTAAAATTTAGAGAATTTATTTTCATTTTATTCTTTGCAGGTTTTAAAGTTTAAGTTGAAAGAAGCCGATGAAATACGCACACTGTTACAGCTGGGGTGTGATACGTATAAGTCAGTCCTTGCAGAAACAATAGGAAATGATTTTTAATCTACGTTTTCTTTTAAAACTATTACCATACTCTTTCATAGCCTAAATAGTTTATCATGCCATTATAACACGGATTTCTGAAAACTATATCTTTGTAGGAAGGAATTTTACAGAAGCTACAGAAAAGTGTGGAGGAAGAGGAAAATAAATGGAAAGTTAAGGTCGATGAATTACAAAAGACAGTTAAGCAGGTATTTAAAAAAGAAGAGCTCAGGGCACTGGTCCGCACAGATAGGACCTGGGCCAACCTCAGCAGGACCACAGAGACTTTTGTGAGAAATGCACATTCTTAGCCCCATTCAGACTCACTGGATCTGAGACGTGTGAGGGACAGCAGCTTGTGTTTTCATAAACCCTCTTGGTGATTCCGATGCCTCTCCACACGTGAACACTCACAAGTTTAGAGTATGACCACAGGGGTAGTGATAATGTAAAGTGATTTGAGAGAACTTCTGTGCAGTAACATATGGCGAAGAGTTCTGGGTTCAGAATCAGTTTAAAAATATTAATAATTGGCCTGTAATCTCAGCCCTTGGAAGGCTGAGGCAGGAGGAGCACCCTGAGTTTGAGGCCTGCCTGGGCTATATAGTGAGCTCAAGGCCAGCCTGAACTACATAATGAGACCCTGCCTCGAAGAAAAAAAGAAAAAGATAATGAACACATGATATATTGTGTTTAAGGAAAAGTTAATTGTGGTTTTGTGAGATCTATTCCTGTGCAATCTTTGGTTTTTATTTTTCTTGGATGTGGTAGAGTGTGCCATTTTGCTATACATGTATTTTCTTAGGCACTTTTAATGGGCCTAAGATAATTTCAAAAGAAGTGAAATTCTCATTGTTAAGGTCTTTAAAAATTCAGTTTGATTTTAAGTGGGGAGTATTTCAGAAGCTCTGTACTGTCTTAGTTTAAAATTCTAGACAGAAATCTGTGGCCTGCCTTTTTTCCCCCTTTATAAAAAATGTTACAATAAAAATGTTAAAATGGAAATTGGCTACTTATATATATATTAATTATATTATATTTTTGTATGCAGCTAAAGATAGTTCCTCTTCACTCAAAAAAATAAAAATGGTGGGCTGCAGGTTGGACACATTTGCCTATCTCCTCTGTGGTTTACTTGGTCTTAAAATTATTTTTAGATGCTATTGTCAGTTGCATCTTCAGAGCAAGAGTTAGAGCAATTAAGAAGAGAAAATAAAGATGCTGAAAATGTATGCTGTTTGTCTTGTAACCTGTGAACTTATTTTTAGCATTTTGAGTTTCCCAAAGATTTGTGTTTTAAGGTTTCTTTCTGTAGGCTGGGGATTTAGCTCAGTGGCACGATGCCTGCCTGACCAAGCACAAGGTCCTGAGTTTGATCCCCTGTACCACAAAAAATTAAAAAAAGACTGCTTTTATCGAATGATATGGTTATTCTCTTAATATGTTCTATAGTTATTTGAGTTGATCCGGTTTTACGTTTGTAAGTGTCCTAACTTTCCATTGTGAAGAAACATCACAAAAGGAAGTCTTACATGTGTTGACTGTTTCTTCTTTGTTGCAATACTAGCTGAGAGGAGAACGAGAGCGTTTGGAGATGGAGCTAGAGAAGGCAGAAATTGAACGATCTACCTATGTTACAGAAGTGAGAGAGGTACTTAAAATTTTTTCAGCCTTGTTTCTCAATTTAAGTTGGTAAAATAATTCCATGTAAGTTGTTTGTGCAAGAGCTTCCGAGTAGCGTACAAAACATGGGATATCATAAGATCAATCTTAAAACTCTAAACTTCATTGCAGCTGAAAGACCTGTTGACTGAATTGCAGAAAAAACTTGATGATTCATATTCTGAAGCAGTAAGACAGAATGAAGAGCTAAATTTGGTAAGAAACTTGTTCTCCACTGGGTACCAAGTAGGCTCTGAAAACACTTGTGTTGACATGTGGAGAAACAGTCCAAACTTTTTTTTCCTTGCTAACCATTTATAGCTTGGCATGTTATAAATTTTAAGATAATCTTTATATTCTGGTGATTCCTAAGATCTTTTTCATGACTCATAAAATGATTCTTTTCTTAACTCCTAACAATGGCATGTTTGACTTCTGACTCTGTATTTTTATAAAGCCTAATTTCTCGGACAACATCATTGTTAGCAAATAAAGAAACAAAACAAATGGTTGGCCAAGTTGTGAAGATTCTCTTCTCAAGCTGTCGTAGTTAACTGGGCCTCTCATTTTCTAACCTGGAAGATTATTGAAGATTGAAGATAACTGCTCTTCATTCTAGGGCAGTAGTGCAGTCCAGCTTCTTATTTTGTCTAATCTTCATAAATTATAAAATACAAGGAGCTTGTAAAATTCTTTATCAACATGTTTAGTACATAGTAATCCAAAAAAGTACAGACTTAGAGATTAGTTGACTGCCTTAAGACATGATTCCATGGCATTGCAGTTCTTAAATGTTGACTGGTTTGCACCAGTAGTTAACAAACACTATGTGGTTTTTGCTGGTGCTAATTTTTATTTCATTTTTCTTAATTTTCATGTTTGTATTTGAAATAAGATATTTTCTGGTTTTGTTTGTACATTGTTTTCCTTGTATTTGGAGTTTTTCATCACTCCTCTCTCCTTTTTAGGAGTCTTCTGAAAAGGAGACCATGTCTGTAAGTCTAAATCAGACTATAGCGCAGCTACAGCAGTTGCTTCTGGCTGTAAACAAACAGCTCACAAAGGAGAAATGACACTACCAACTTTGGGTAAGAATAAATGAAGTATTGCTGTCGTTAATGGATGGGATGGGAGAAGAGTATGTGTAATATGTATTTACCACAAATTAAGAAAGTTCATTTTTCCGAAAGAAATATTTCCTTATTATTTCTGTCAGAACTTTCAGGTGACAGCCTTCACCTTCCTTAGAGTTTTACTTCCATCTTGTGTGTAGTTTGAAGGCCTTTTGGCTCAGAAGGAACAGAACCTGTATCTCTGCTAAATTTGATCTTTATATTAAACAAGCTCATCAGCTGCTTCTGATCTTAGGTCAGGTGAAAGATTTGTATATCTCCTTCTTCCTCCTCCTCTGTTCATGACTTCATAAAATACAGCGACCACAACATTTTTCCCCAAGATTGGTGAAAATCACGTCATCACAATTTTTTGTAACACAGAAAGAACACACAAAATTTACCACATACCTGTGGATGGGAGTATTAGACTTCTTTATTTAAAGTTTGCTTTTGTAGGTAACCTAAGAAGTCTATTCTTTTTTTTTTGTACCGGGAATTGAACTTGGGACCTTGTGCTTGTGAGGCAGTCAGCAGCACCACTGAGCTAAATCCCTGGCCCTAAGAAATCTATTCTTATAATGCCTGAGCTCAAGGTTTTCATTTAGGATAAATCCATTATCAACAAAATCATGTTATAAACTTTTATTGCCTATTTAATTTGAAAAGCTCTGATTGATTAGCACTTAATGACTTATATGTTAACTGGTGAATGCAGGGTTTTTTTTGTTGTTAACCTTGGTTTTACTGATTTTTTAATAAGTTATACTGCCTAGAGTATTCAAATATGCATTGAATACTTCAGATATTACTCTTTTGAGGCTATTTAAAATCATCATATTGGGCTGGGGATTTAGCTCAGTGATTCTGCTGCTTGCCTGGCAAGCACAAGGACTCAAGTTTGATCCCTGGTACCAAAGAACCCCCACAAAATCATAATGTCCACAATCACCACTCCTGTTCATTATAGTTCTGGGAACATTAGCCACAGCAATTAGACAAGGGAAACAAAAGGAGGAAAGATAGGAAAGGAGGAAACTGTCATTATTTGCTGATGATATGATGCTCTACGTAGAAGACCCAAAGAACTCCACCAGAAGACTTCTAGATTTAATTGACAGATTCAGTAGAGTAGCTGGATACAAGGTAAACATTCAAATATCAAAACCTTCTTGTATGTAAATAACAGACTCACTGAGAGTGAAATTAGGGAAACAATTCCTTTCACAGTAGCATCGAAAAATATGAAATATCTAGGAATCAGTCTAACAAAGGAAGCAAAAGACCTCTACATTGAAAACTACAGCAACTCTGAGAAAAGACATCCGCTGTTCCTGAGTAGGAAGAAGCAATATAGTGAAAATAGCCACACTTCCAAAACTGCTATACACATTCAGTGCTATCCCTATTGAAATCCCAACAGTACATTTCACAGAACTTGAGAAAACAATCCAAAAATTCATTTGTAATCAGAAGAGACCTAGAATAGCAAAAGCAATTCCAGGCAGTGGAGACATGACGGGGTACCACAATCCCCAACTTGAAAGTATACTACAAAGCCATTGTGATAAAAACAGCTCGGTACTGGCAAAGAAACAGACGCATGGATCAGTGGAATAGATGAGAAGATGCAGAAACAATTTCAGACACACTCAGCTGCCTCATCTCACTGAAGGAAAGAATACCTCTTTAATAAATGGTTGGAAAAACTGGATTTCAACCTGCCAAAGATTAAAACTGGACCTATATCTTTCACCATACACTAAACTAAAATCCAAGTGGGTTAAAGATCTAAATAGTAAAACAGAAACACTAAACTTACCGGGAGATAAGTTAGGTAGAACTCTTGAAGACATTGGCATAGGAAAAGATTTTTGAACAGATCTTCAGGAGCTTGGGAACTAGCACAGAGTATGAACAACTGGGATCTCATCTTTAAAAAGCTGCACTGCAAGAGAAACCATCAACAGACTAAGAGACAAGCTACAGTGTGAGAAAGCAATTTTATCAACTGTTCCTCAGACAAAGGACTGCTATCTAGAGTATATAAAGAACTTTAAAAACCCAGACCACCCCAAAATTTAAAAACCCAATTCAAAAATGGGCATCTGAAATGAACAGACATTTCTCAGATAAGTAAAAGCAGCAAATGAATATGAAAAAAAAAGTTCAATATCACTGGTCATTAGAGAGCTGCGAATGCAAACAATGCTGAGATACATCATCACCCCACAAAGAATGACGGCTGTCATGAAATCGACCAGTAACAAATGGTTGTGGTACTGTGTGAAATTGAACCCTGCTCCACTGCTAGTGGTCGTTTGGACTTTGGAAATGAGTATGGAGATAGCTCAAAGAACTAGGGTTAGAGGTTCCATCTGATCCAGCTGTCCCTCTGCTGGGGATCTTTCCAAAAGAATTAAAAGACGCATACCACAGTGATATGTGGCACACCCATGTTTATAGCAGCACAGTCTATAATAGCTAAAGCTTGGAAACAGCCCAATTGTCCAAGAACTGGAGACTGGATAAAGAACATGTGTGTTGGGTTTTTTTGTTTGATTTTTTTTTTTTTTACAAAGTGTAGTACTAATCCACAAAGAATGAAAAACTAGAGATAATTATAGCTAAATGGATGCACACTGAGGCAATACTCAAGTGAAATAAATAGGACACACATTTGTGAATACTGAATAGTTTCTCTGGTGTGAAAAACTAAGTGTACAAAAGGATAAAAATGTATAATTGATAATGTAAAATATGAAGAAAAGGTCTAAAAGGCTAGGGGAAGTGGGAGGGGTAGGGGAAAGGAAAGAGGGAAAAGAATATGAGGCAAGGAAAAAGTAAATAGGGAAGGTTGGAGGGGTGAAGGGAGGGCAGACGAATGAGGAAAAAATAAGAACCGAGATACATCATGTAAAGGTACAAGTTCCCAATGATGAGTGTAACTGTGTTGTACACCTCAAATGTACCAATGAACTTAATGGGGAAAAAAAGCAACGCACTCTCCTGTAGACCCAGAGCGGGGCAACTCATCATTGAAATGTGCCTTTCAGAACCCACATCTAAGGCTGATAGCTGTACACAGGCCTCAGAGATAGGTTGAGTGTCCTAAAAAGGATGGTGGACTGTGGCTTAGTTACTTCCTCATTGCTGAGACAAAATACCTGACTCCCAAAGTTAAAAGAAGGAAAGGATTATTTCGTCTCACAGTTCTTACAGGTTTCAGCCCACAATTGGCTGGCTTCAAGGCAGGGTGGCACGGCAGAGGGGCATGGTAGAGGAGAAATAGCTCATGGGGGAGAAGGCAGGCCGAAACAAATGACCATGGCAGCTTCTTCCAGGCCCTTTGTATGTTACCTCGGCTACCCCTCCTTAGGGTGTGGGTAACACTCACACCTAGAGCTGTGCCAAACCAGTCCGTGGACTAACGTAGTAACCAAACCCCCTAAATCCCAGCACCACACATCCCATCTCCAGCCCCTCTGAGAAAGCCCCACCTGTGAGCGCGTGAGGGTTTGGAGCCATATCTAGACCCACGCTGTACCAGACCTGCATTTTGGTGGTGCGGGGCACACCTCAGGTTTATAGGCCGCTCATCGTGTGACCTATTGTAGTACATGCTTTGCTTTAAAGTACTAATTTGGGTGAGTTTGCAGAAGATCCTGCATAATAAACCCTTGTTGTTTTTATCCTTGTGAGCTGACCTCTCCAGTTTCCTGGGGTTTACAGTAGGAAACAACCTGTTTCCTCTTCTGGTAACTCCTCTCCTTCCCATAGCTTCAGCCTTATTCTCTCCGAATGCTTCTTTTGCCCAGTCTTGAGAGCATGCTCAACGTGTCTTATTTTAATCTTGTTTATCCTTCAGTTCACCACCCTACTCTTTCTTTTCACTATTTAAGAAGGACTCTTATAGTAAGAAACGTGTCACGATGTTGACAACTTTGATTCCTTTCTCCATTTTAGAATGGCTTCCGTCCAAAGAAACCATACTTGCTGATATCATTAATTTTTAAACCTGAATCTAACCACGGGCCCTTCATGCCATGTGATGAGGTACTAGAAGTATCTCATCTGTGCTGAAGTTAGTCAACAGACCTTGGTGTTAAGGGCTTCGTTTGTCAAACATAAAAATGTGTAAGATTTCCGGTTGCCTTTCGCCTTTGTGAATATTTATTGATGAGTGGAGAGTTGTAAATTTCGGAGCCTGTTTTTAATGCTTCTTACTGGACTTAGACTTATAGACTCGAGTAGGACTAATAAAAATGAGGTTGCAGTTTTGTCCTCTTAAATGTTTTCTAGTAGGATTTGGCTCACATTGTAAAATATTTACCTAAAAGCTTCATCGGAATCCTGAAAAAATTTTTATTACCATGAGTGTGAATTGCTTTGAAAGGGCATGCTGGGTCAAAGTGAGCTGACCTCTCCAGTTTCCTGGGGTTTACAGTAGGAAACAACCTGTTTCCTCTTCTGGTAACTCCTCTCCTTCCCATAGCTTCAGCCTTATTCTCTCCGAATGCTTCTTTTGCCCAGTCTTGAGAGCATGCTCAACGTGTCTTATTTTAATCTTGTTTATCCTTCAGTTCACCACCCTACTCTTTCTTTTCACTATTTAAGAAGGACTCTTATAGTAAGAAACGTGTCACGATGTTGACAACTTTGATTCCTTTCTCCATTTTAGAATGGCTTCCGTCCAAAGAAACCATACTTGCTGATATCATTAATTTTTAAACCTGAATCTAACCACGGGCCCTTCATGCCATGTGATGAGGTACTAGAAGTATCTCATCTGTGCTGAAGTTAGTCAACAGACCTTGGTGTTAAGGGCTTCGTTTGTCAAACATAAAAATGTGTAAGATTTCCGGTTGCCTTTCGCCTTTGTGAATATTTATTGATGAGTGGAGAGTTGTAAATTTCGGAGCCTGTTTTTAATGCTTCTTACTGGACTTAGACTTATAGACTCGAGTAGGACTAATAAAAATGAGGTTGCAGTTTTGTCCTCTTAAATGTTTTCTAGTAGGATTTGGCTCACATTGTAAAATATTTACCTAAAAGCTTCATCGGAATCCTGAAAAAATTTTTATTACCATGAGTGTGAATTGCTTTGAAAGGGCATGCTGGGTCAAATGGAATGTGTATGAGAAAACTGCTTTGTTTTAAAATGAACTTCTCTCTGATCTTTTACAGAGTGAAGTAATGGGGAAACTGTTCGATTGAGGATAACAGAAGGCATTG